CACACACACACACAGCTGGTCTTCCTGTCTCTGGTGACCTTGGCTGGGCTTCGGAGGCTCCGCATGGTTTTCACATCCACTCATCCCCACCTCCTCTCCCATTTGAACCAGCTCCCAGCTCATCCTTCTCTTTTATCCTTTCTGTCCCTTCACATGTCTTCTTCTTGTATGTCTTATATTCCTTCCTCTTACTTTCACTGCAGCCACAAAGTGATGTATTGAACCCATGGATGTATGATCAATCAGGGTACTGAGTCAGAGGCGGGGCTCCGTTCATTCCTGCTTGGTGTTGCTTAGTGCCGCAAAAAGGTTTGTGTGCCTCTGTTACTGAACAAAGCTTGATTAAACCTTGACTCAGTGTCTCCTCTTCCACCTGCTGCAACCATTTTGGGACAGTGATGTCAGAGTGTGCGAAGCCAGCATAAACAAACGAGATTCATCCAAATAGTCTGGATCCGAACGTAGTATTGGAGTGCTGTTGTGCTCAGCTGGCTAGAACCGCGTCTTATCCAGGCAGAAAGGTTGGTCGGAGTTGCCTGGGTGTCTTGGATCCAGAGTTGAGACCAAACCTGCTTCCGAGTTCTGTTGGGTCTGCATTTTGAAGAGACAAAAAAAACAGGATGCCGCTTAGCTGACAGTGCCGTTTCCCATCAGTGATGAAGTCATAGCGGCTCTGTTGATATTGGTAGATGCTCCGTTTGTGTTTGTGTTTGAGAGCGAGAAAGAAAGAGGCTGTGTGTGTTTCCCAGAAGACACCGTGATAGCGCTCGGAAGTGCCAAACCACATGAAACTGTCATCTACGTTCGGTGATGGAATGCCAGTTTGGGAGCCAACGCACCCGCCTGTACACACACACACACAAATGGACACAGTTAGGCACACACACATGCACAAACACACACTGGCATTGTCTGTTCGTGAGGTTAATAATGAGAGCAATAATAACCCCCTTTCTCTCTCTCTCTCTCTCTCTCTCTCCCAATCTCCCTTTCTGCCCTTCCATCTCTATCTACTATTCCACCCTCTCTCCTCATCCCTGTCCATTTATCTATTCTTCCAACCCCTACTTTGTTTCTCTTTTTCTGTCCTCCTCCCTCTCCTCTTTCTTGACCACTCCAGCCCAGAAGGGTCTGCTCCACCTAAGCCCAGACGTCTACCAGGAGATGGAGGCCAGCAGGAAGCAAGGGGGCAGTGCTCCGGGCCCGGGCAGCAGCGGTGGCGGCTCCATCAACTACATGACATCCAAAGACATGGGGCCCTGCTCTGCCCCACTGCCACCAGGACACCCTCCATACTACAGCGGCTCAGCCTCCTCACCCAGCCCGACCGCCACCATGGCCAGGGAGCTGCTGCTTAACGGTCAGTCGCCCACAGCCGACGCCTCCCTGCCCATGAAGGGGAAGAACCCAGCCCTGGCCTGCGGCGTCTCGGTGCAGCCTGCACAGCAGCTGGACTACCTGGCTCGCATCCAGGGCTTCCAGGTGAGATGCAAGAAGGTGGACATTACAGCGGCAAATAGGGAGGCTGAATGTAAATTACAGTATCAACAACTTACTTTAACTACTGTTGAGATCTGGAAACATGGCTACAACAAAATCCAGGTTAGACAGTCGTATTTAGGAAAGAAAACAAAGGTGGATGGTAAAATTACCCAAGGTGTCTATTGAAAACATCCATCATAGTTTACANTCCGGGAAAATGTTGAGCAAAGGTGGTAAGCTACTGTGAAATGTATGATCTGATCGAGCTGAATTGTGCAGGTCCTGAGGCATCTCATTATATCAATATACTAACTAAATAATAGATGCCTCACTCATTAAATGTGTGGCCTTTGCTGTGCAGTGTATCGCCACTGCACATTTCCCTGAAGCTTAAGAGGAATATCATTTTTCACGAAGAATTTACTAACTTCTTCTGACCTTGGGGACGGTGCTTTTTATTTCAGGCAAGGAGTTGGGACCTCCATCGTGAAATGATGCAAAGTTAAGTTGTCTGCGTATGCAATGAAGTATTTATTCACATTTTGATTGCAGCCTTTCTGATCATCTGACCGCTCATGTTTCTTGCCCTACTGGACTTAACCGTGTTCCCAGATCTCAGCAATATACTCACTAAAGTAATCTTCGGTTACTTTGATGAGTATAATCTCCCAACTGATAGAAATTACATAAATTAGGAAAGTGAGACCTTAGTTGTA